GTAATGTTTATGCTTTGCTTTCATTAATATCAAGTTTATGCCTTTCATTTCCTTTCCTAGCTAAGTTTATTATGTCAAGGTGAAAAGGTTACACTAATGGTGTAAGAATAAGTATAGTGTAAACTTAATATGGACTTTAATGTTTGATACTAACATGTTTTGTATTTGTTATCTTGTTCACTCTTTAGTATTTTGCTTGTTAAATGACTAATCTTGATTTATGTTGCATAACAATTGGTACAATAAATGCTTGGCACTTTCATAGCCCATACTGTATGGTATAACCGACACCTGAGCTATGAAAGAAACTTGATTTTTTGTTAATATAAGTTATAATCATGAATGCTTGACGAGATTTACAAGTATTAGCATTAATCGAATAAGATGACTAATGTAATCATGTTAACAATCTATAATCGGATTGGAACCTCCTTTGTGTGTGGTTTCCAATTCAATAATAACTTTGTGTGTGGTTTACAATTGAATAATAAGAGTTTATACTATACTTGTTTGACATACCGTTAGTGGAACCGCTAACCTTGACATTTGTTATTATCATTGTTTAATCTTTACGTTAATATTTCATCTCAAAGCTCTCATCTTTTTCTTCTTCTTCTTCTTCTTTATTATTATTATTATTAGTATTACTACTACTACTATTACTATTATTATTATTATTATTATTATTATTATTATTATTATTATTGTTGTTATTACTAGTATTATTGTTGTTGTTGTTATTGTTATTATTGTTGTATTATTGTTATTTATAATTTATAAAATTAACCTTCCTGTGGTTCGACCCTGGTCTTGCCGGGTTATTTATTACTTCGACACTCCTGCACTTGGGAGAAGACATCAATCTTTTAGTCGTGTCAAGTTTTTGGCGTCGTTGCCAGGGAGGTAAGTTTTGTCTAAATTATAATTTTTATTTTCTCTTTTCACTTTTCTTGTATATAACTTTGTTTCTTTTCTCTTATTTCTTCTTCTTTTGTTTTCTTTTTGCTTTTATTCTATTCCTGCACGTGCATGAGAGTGTGGTCACGTACATCAAGTGGTAGACTTTGTAGGGTATACTCATCATTTTCAGAAAATATGGCCGAAGAAGATAATCAATCACTTCATAATGAGAATAATGAGAATAACTGTGCTAGAACACTTAGAGACCACATGAATCCCACAAGAACAAGTGCACCATCATGCATAGTTTTTCCTCCCAATGCATCTCATTTTAATTTTAAACCAGGTATTATTCAACTTTTACCTTCTTTTCATGACTTAGAATTGGAAAATTCATACTTGCATTTAAGGGAATTCGAGGAGGTCTACAACACATATAATAATTTAAATTGTAGCATGAACACCATGAGATTAAAGCTTTTTCCTTTTTCATTAAAAGATAAAGCTAAAACATGGCTACAAAATTTAAGACCAGGAACCATTCGTGCTTGGGATGAAATGCAACAGGACTTTTTAAAGAAGTTTTTCCCATCTCAGAGAACAAACTCTTTCAAAAGACAAATCACCACTTTCACTCAAAAACCAGGAGAAACATTTTACCAATGTTGGGATAGGTATCGAGACTTGCTTAGTACTTGCCCTCATCATGGTTTTGAAACATAGAGATCGGTTTCACATTTTTATGAAGGGTTAACACCTAGAGATAGGCAAATGGTTGAATTGATGTGCAATAAAACTTTTAAAGATAAAGACCCTGATGAAGCAATGGCGTACTTAGACTTGTTAGCTGAAAATGCTCAAAATTGGGACACCGCGGGTACTTATGAGGCACCGAGTAAAACTCAACCTCATACATCTAATGGAGGTATGTACAACCTTAGGGAAGATCATGACCTTCAAGCCAAGCTTGCATCTTTAGCTAGAAAAGTTGAGGCACTAGAATTGAAAAAGAGTGATCAATTAAAATCTGTTGAAAACATTGTGTGTCAAATCTGTGAAAGAAATGAACACTCAACCAATGATTGTCCAACCTTGCCTTCTTTTAAGGAATGCCTCCATGAACAAGCCCATGCTTTAAACAGTTTTCAAAGGGCCAACCACAACCCATACTCACAAACATACAACCCTGGTTGGAGAAATCACCCAAATTTCAGTTGGAAGAGTGATAATAACAATAGACAAACTCCACAACCACCGTTTCAAGCCCACCACAATTTCCAAAATTCTCATGGATATGCACCTCCTTATGCTCCACCTTCTAGAAGAAATCTTAAGGAAACGTTGCATGCATTCATTGAAAAGCAAAAGACAATCAATACTCAACTTGCTCAAAACATGACAGATTTTAAAGATACTCTTGCAAAATTAACATCTGCTCTTAGTTTCCAAGAGAAAGGTAAGTTTCCATCTCAACCACAACAAAATCCCAAGGGGCAATATAATGCAAATGCAAGTAGTTCCGGAAGCCACCACATGGATCAAGTCAAATCAGTCACTACTCTGCGCAGTGGTAAGGTTATTGAAAAACCCTCTCTTGAACCTTATGAGAAAGATGATGAGTCAATCTCTGAGGGTAAGGAAGGGGTTGAATCTGAAAATTGCAAAGAAAAGACTTATTCTCCGCCACCACTTCCACATACTCAAGTCATGACCAAACAAAGGAAAGTCAATCACAACTCTGAAATTTTTGAAATTTTCAAATAGGTAAGGATCAATATACCTTTATTGGATGCTATTAAATAGGTTCCTTCTTATGCCAAATTTTTGAAAGATCTATGCACTGTGAAGAGAAAACTGAATGTGAAAAAGAAAGTCTTTCTAGCCGAACAAGTAAGTGTTATTCTTCAAATCAATGCCTTGGTATAATAAAAATATCAATTTTCTCGCTTTAGGACATTTGCCAGCTGATTGGAGTACCCAAGACAAAGAAAAGTTTTTGAACAAAGTGAAGAACTTTTATTGTGATGACCCTAACTTATTCAAATATTGTCCTGATCAAATATTTCAAAGATTGATTCCCGACAATGAGGTAAGTAGTGTCATTAAACTTTGTCATTCTGAAGCATGTGGAAGTTATTTCTCGTCAAAAAAGACAGCTGCAAAAATCTTTCGAAATGGATTTTATTGGCCCACCATGTTCAAGGACACACATGCATTCTGCACAACTTGTGAACATTGTCAAAAAGCTGACACTGGTCAAAAAGTTTTGTTTTATAATTCTCAACTCTATGCATTTCCTAGAGAGGTAAGACCAAGATGGAGCAATCCTTATGGGGCCTATGATATTGAGAATTCAATGAATGATAATGATTTTAAGGAAAATGGACATCATTTGAAACTGGTTGGAATGATCTTGTAGATAAAGGTTGATTATTTTGTTTTTCTCACATTGTTTTTGTGATTTTTGCTAGTTTCTCTCACCCTGGTCAAATGGCAGACAACGGTACTCCGTGACTTAAGTCGGTTCTTTTAGTTTCCCACAATAATTGATATTTGTGTATATATTTGTGCAATTCTTTGAATCTCTCTTCCAATTCTCATTTGAAAATGGACACTAATCTTGAAAAATTGAAAAAGTATTTTCCCGCTCTACCTCAGAATGCGATTACAAAAATTTACCATGCTAGATGTGCAAGATTGAGATTGTTAATGAATCATGGAATTCCTGAAGATATTCACTGGTTGATTGAAGCAAAGGTCCGATTATCAGGTGAGTCCTTTAATTCCTTTATTTCACACATTCTTGGAATAGGTGAAAGCACTTTTTGAAAGAAACGTCGTGCAAAACGACTAGAAATCTGTCATCGATGTGCTAGATGGACTTGTAATACACAACGTCGTTCTTTAGGAATGGTATCTATAAACCGTGAAGATAAAATACAATTCATTAAGGATGGCCTAAGTAAAGAGTCTTTAGATAATCTTCTATTAACTCTTGAGACGCATCCTAGTGGAGATGTGCATCGTGCAATTCATGATTTATGGCCACTATTTCATAAAGAACATGATCGATTTAGTCTTAGGAATCTGACTAAAAAAGACCTTGTTTGCCAGTTTTTAAGAAAACTGGATGGGAAGCCTATCCCCGACCCATAGAGGGCGTTTAAGTCGTTCTTGGACGTAAAACCAAGGGAAGATGTGAGCCACAATCACAACTACCTGTACATACACATGCTTTTTCAAAAGTAAATAAATAAATAAATAAAGAGAGAGAGAGAGTGTGTGTGAGATTCCAGCTGGCCTACATATAGGTCGTATGATTGCCTTTCTAATTTCTCATCTATAAAACCCTCTCTTTCTTCCTTTCATTTCTACTCAACCCATACATTCAACAACTATAGAAGTGTGTAGAAATGGCAAGTTCCTCAGGTCATCATATAAGAAATATTTATGTTTTCGGTGGATCTAGTCCTGGGAAAGAAAAGGAGTTTTTAGAATCAGCAAATCATCTTGGTCAAGTGCTAGCTGAGAGAAAGATTCATTTAGTGTATGGGGGAGGCAGTCTTGGGTTAATGGGATGTGTGTCAATAGCTACATTTTTAGGAGGTAGTCAAGTTTTGGGGGTCGTCCCTGAAGCTTTAGCACAAGGGGACATCAATGGAAAAACAATTGGAGAGGAACTTCAGGTCTCCACAATGTCGGCTCAAATGAATGTAATGTTTAACCATGTTGATGCCTTCATTGCTTTACCAGGTGGTCTAGGCACATTGGAAGAGATCTTCCATATTTCCTCTTAGGCCCAATTGCACATTCACCATAAACCCATAGGTTTGTTAAATGTTAATGGTTATTATGATAAGTTGTTGTTTTTTCTTGATCATGCTGTGAAACAGGAATTTCTAACATCTTCTGTATGATAAATCATAATCTCTACTGCTACTGCTGCACAATTGATTGACCAACTACAATCTTTCATTCCTGTAATTGATCCTTCTATAAGTCGCATAAATTGGATTTGAGCCTTCATTTGTGAATCTTTGTGTCTTTTGGTTTTATTATTGTGTTTTGTTGTTACTTATATCTATTTCAGTGTGTTTCAGGTTTGTCACTGTTCGTTATTTCAAGTGATATCTTCTATACTCTATCTTTCTACCTTTAAATATTGAGGACAATGTCTCATTTTGGTTGGGGGGGAAGGGTAGTAGTTGATAAAAAAAAAATTATTTTCTATTTCATAAAGCATGTGCATAATTATTGTTACTAGGATAATAGAGTAAAGGAGCTCTTTTGTTAAAGTGACTCTTGAGATGCATCTTAGTACTTAACAAGGTCTATTATAATACTTCCTGAAATATTCAGATTTACAAACTCTTGCATTATTATCACTTAATTTTGTTCATATACTCATTTAACATATATTCTTAAACCTTAATTTACACACACACACTTTAACATATGATTGTGGGTTGCATATTGGATTATTACATTATTTATGTTCTTTTGTTAAAGGTAACACCTAACGAAAAGGAATAGTATATAATTAAAAAAAAGAAAAAAAAATGATGATAATAAAAATGTAGATAAGTTTGGTTTCGTAGCCTCCCTAACCTAAGCAATTAAGCCCGAAGGGGTGTTTTAACACCTAATACCCTAAAGTCAACAGATTTGGGAGCTATTGGCCCAACATTTGTTACATGGGTTGAGGAGAAAAGCTTAAGGGAATCAAACATTGCACTATCTACATATTAGTATCTGCGACCTGAGTTATTAAGCTCGTAGGGGTGTCTTAACACCTAATGCCCTAAGACCAACTAGTCTGGGAGTCATTAGCTGAATGCTTGTTACATGGGTTAAAGATGCATGGTGTTTTTAAATTATATGTATATATATTTGAAAAAAAGAAGACAAAAATAATAATCCCAACCCAAGGAAGTTAACCTTAAACATTAGAACAAAAATTTTGTTTTCTTTCAAGAAAAGCCCCATAATTATGTGTTGATACATTAAGCACAAAAAAAAAGGTTTATTAATATCTTGTTAAGAGGTATTGAGCAGATATATAAATTTATTGAGAGTTTGTTTATCTGATAGATTAATCGAAGTTCAATGATGCATACCTTGCTTTGTGGAATTTGCAAATTGTTTTTCTATTTTAACGCTTTGATTACTAGGGACTAGTAATAAGCTGGTTGGGGGGTGTGATTAGTACTTAAAAGTGCATTTTTATCATGGTTTTATATCATCATTTTGCACTTGAAGTATCAATAACTCCTTAACTAAAGCATGTTTTATAATAATATATCTAATAATATAAGATACCTTTAATTTATGGTAAATGTTCATTTTAAATGCAGGCCTATCACATAAATGAAAGGATTGATTGATGACTTTAAGAACATAAATTGCAAGGGTAAAGAGATGACCAAAATTAGAAAAGAGATGTCGGTGCAATCCAAACCGGAACACTGTTTGGTAATTTGGTCATATCTAGAGCTATAGATCTTAGATTTAGGTCTACTTTATATGGATGGAAAGGTAAGACATAGGCCTAGAACTTTCGTATGGAGCCTAAGATTTAAAAAGGTCATTTTCAAGTCCAAATTATTGCAACAACAAAGAAGCCCGAAGTTGTCCTCCAGCCCGAGCACTGTTCAGTATTTTGGTCATATCTAGAGTTCTAGAAGTCCAAATGAGCTAACTTTTTTACATAAGAAAGCTGAGACAATTGCCTACAACTTTCATGTTTTCAAATGACTCTAATTTTGACGTTATCAATGATGTTTTGGGTAGACAAGAGAAGATAAGGATTGTCACCACGTCAAGAGTTGGCTACCCACTCATCAATTAGTCATCAAATCAATAGTTCCCAATTTTGGCCTATAAAAGGAGGCATTTGCCATGCATTTAGGCATCTTGGTTTCCAGATCAAGATCATGCTCTTCTTTTCTCTCTTAGTATTTTTTGTAATGTTTATGCTTTACTTTCATTAATATCAAGTTTATGCCTTTCATTTCCTTTCCTTTACTTAGTTAACTTTTATGTTCTTATTTTGTTTATTTGTTTTCCTTTCTTTCATTATGTCTAGCTAAGTTAATTATGTCAAGGTGAAAAGGTTACACTAATGGTGTAAGAATAATTATAATGTAAACTTAATATGGACTTTAATGTTTGATACTAGCATGTTTTATATTTGTTATCTTGTTCACTCTTTAATACTTTGCTTGTTAAATGATTAATCTTGATTTATGTTGTATAACACTTGGTACAACAAATGCTTGGCACTTTCATACCCCATAATGTATGGTATAACTGGAGTTCGAGAAGTCCAAATGAGATGAATTGTTTACACAAGAAAGCTGAGACAATTGCCTACAACTTTGATGTTTTCAAGTGGCTCCAATTTTGATGTTATCAATGACGTTTTGGGCAGACAATAGAAGATAAAGATTGTCACCAAGTCTAGAGTTGGCCACCCACTCATCAATTAGTTATCAAATCAATAGTTCCCAATTTTGACCTATAAAAGGAGGCATTTGACATGCATTTAGGCATCTTGGTTTCCAGATCAAGATTATGCTCTTCCTTTCTCTCTTTGTATTTTTTGTATTGTTTATGCTTTGCTTTCATTAATATCAAGTTTATGCCTTTCATTTACTTAGTTAAGTTTTATCTTATTTATGTTCTTATCTTGTTTATTTATTTTTTCTTTCTTTCATTATGTCTAGCTAAGTTTATTATGTCAAGGTGAAAAGGTTACACTTATGGTGTAAGAATAAGTGTAGTGTAAACTTAATATGGACTTTAATGTTTGATACTAACACATTTTATATTTATTATTGATTAGTACTTAAAAGTGCATTTTTATCATGGTTTTATATCATCATTTTGCACTTGAAGTATCAATAACTCCTTAACTAAAGCATGTTTTATAATAATATATCTAATAATATATCTAATAATATAAGATACCTTTAATTTGTGGTAAATGTTCATTTTAAATGTAGGCCTATCACATAAATGAAAGGATTGATTGATGACTTTAAGAACTTAAATTGCAAGGGCAAAAAGATGACCAAAATTAGAAAAGAGATGTCGGTGCAATCCAAACCGGAACACTATTCGGTAATTGGATCATATCTGGAGCTATAAATCTCAGTGGCTCCAATTTTGGTCTACTTTATATGGATGAAAAGGTAAGACATAGGTCTACAACTTTCATATGGAGCTCAAGATCTAAAAAGGCCATTTTCAAGTCCAAATTGTAGCAACAACAAAGAAACCCGAATCTGTCTTCCAGCCCGAGCACTGTTTAGTATTTTGGCCATATCTGGAATTCTAGAAGTCGAAATGAGCTGAATTTTTTACACAAGAAAGCTGAGACAATTGCCTACAACTTTCATGTCAAGTGGCTCCAATTTTGACGTTATCAATGACGTTTTGGGCAGACAAGAGAAGATAAGGATTGTCACCAAGTCAAGAGGTGGCCACCCACTCATCAATTAGTCATCAAATCAATAGTTCCCAATTTTGGCCTATAAAAGGAGGCATTTGCCATGCATTTAGGCATCTTGGTGTCCAGATCAAGATCATGCTCTTGCTTTCTCTCCTTGTATTTTTTGTAATGGTTATGCTTTGCTTTCATTAATATCAAGTTTATGCCTTTCATTTCCTCTCCTTTACTTAATTAACTTTTATCTTATTTATGTTCTTATTTTGTTTATTTATTTTTCTTTCTTTCATTATGTGTAGCTAAGTTTATTATGTCAAGGTGAAAAAGTTACACTAATGGTGTAAGAATAAGTATAGTGTAAACTTAATATGGACTTTAATGTTTGATACTAACATGTTTTATATTTGTTATCTTGTTCACTCTTTAATACTTTGCTTGTTAAATGACTAATCTTGATTTATTATTGTTATGATTGCCTTTCTACTTTCTCATCTATAAAACCCTCTTTTCCTTCCTTTCATTTCTACTCAACCCATACATTCAACAAATACAGAAGTGTGTAGAAATGGCAAGTTCCTCAAATCATCAAATAAGAAATATTTGTGTTTTCGGTGGATCTAGTCCTGGGAAAGAAAAAGAGTTTTTAGAATCAGCAAATCATCTTGGTCAGGTGCTAGCTGAGAGAAAGATTCATTTAGTGTATGGGGGAGGCAGTCTTGGGTTAATGGGAGGTGTGTCAATAATTGCATTTTTAGGAGGTAGTCAAGTTTTGGGGGTCGTCCCTGAAGCTTTGGCACAAGGGGACATCATTGGAAAAACAATTGGAGAGGAACTTCAGGTCTCCACAATGTCGGCTCGAATGAATGCAATGTTTAACCATGCTGATGCTTTCATTGCTTTACCAAGTGGTCTAGGCACATTGGAAGAGATCTTTCATATTTCCTCTTGGGCTCAATTGCACATTCACCATAAACCCATAGGTTTGTTAAATGTTAATGGTTATTATGATAAGTTGTTGTCTTTTCTTGATCATGCTGTGGAACAGGAATTTTTAACATCTTCTGCACGACAAATCATAATCTCTGCTACTACTGCTGAACAATTGATTGACCAACTACAATCTTTCATTCCTGTGATTGATCCTTCCATGAGTCGCATAAATTGGTCATCTAAGGAAAGCCGTAAAAAGCTTAGATTGGATTTGAGCCTTCATTTGTGAATTTTTGTGTCTTTTGGTTTTATTATTATGTTTTGTTATTTTTTATTTTTGTTTTAGTGTGTTTCAGGTTTTGTCAGTGTTCGTTATTTCAGGTGATATCTTCTATACTCTATCTTTCTACCTTAGAACATTGAGGATAATGTCTCGTTTTGGTTGGGGGGAGAGGGTAGTAGTTGATAAAAAAAAAAAAATTGTTTTTCATTTCATAAAGCATATGCATAATTGTTGTTACTAGGATGGTAGAGTAAAGGAGTTCTTTTGTTAAAGTGACTCTTGAGACGCATCTTAGTAACCATTCTTAACAAGGTCTATTATAATACTTCCTGAAATATTCAGGTTTGCAAACTCTCGTATTGTTACCACTTAATTCTGCTCATATACTTATTTAACATGTATTTTTAAACCTTAATTTACACACACACACTTTAACTTAAACCTTAATT